TTTTTTTAGCTGAGCCATCCTGCCACTTGTTGGCAGCTCAGTGGCAGTTCAGCTTGGGCCGTGAATCAAACTGGCAACCCTGTTGTTCAGAGCTCACACTCTTGAGCGAGCTGTTAACCAACTGAGCCACTCGGCTGGCCCCAACACTGCCTTTTTTGAAAGGACTAGAAATGAAGCAAAATTCCAGATGCTAGAGTACAATTGGGTCTTAGCAGAATTAAAAAGTAAAGGTAAATGACCCCTTGTGATACTTGTGTTTCGTATTTTGCATTTCTTGTGGTTCTGAAATTTATTTTGTTTGCTACTGTTAGTACTGCATGGTAAAATAGCTATGGTAAAATTCAGCTATATGAATCATTTGGGTTGTGCCAATTTTACATTAGCACCAGAGAAACATGATAAACCAAGAACTCTTTAGTGCATCTGGATATAGAATTCTTCGAGGGCTGGATTCTTTGCTGAGACTTCTTATTCCTCAATTCTAAATGATATAATAAACCATGGGCTGCCACAAACAAAAGTCTTTAGTGATGGCTAATGTGTTTTTTTTTAATTAGAGGTTAGTTTGATTACTAAATAACTTTTTTCTATTTCTAGAGTTACAGGAGGTTGTCTTAGCTCTTGATTTACTCGAAGGTGACATGATAGCTGGGAAGAACTTGGAAGGCTTTCTAAGAAATATTGGGATTAAGTCACCTAAAGAAAAGGTAGAGGACATTCTTCAATCAGATTTTATTTCTGGTAAGCATTTAAATATTACTATCAGTTTTGTTTTGTTTTGTTTTGTGTTTGGTAAGAATACCTACAAAGAAAGTGTATGAGTTCTTTGTTCAAGTAAATTGTGATTCCTTTGTTGAGAAAATATCTGTAGATATTTTGCTTATGTTGCTATAAACATTATCTTTGAAAAGGAGCCTTTCTTCTTTTAATTTCCTCTTTTGCAGTTATGAGAATACTTTAAACAGGCAGTTAAAAATTTTGTGGGGAGTGGGATTGTTGGAATCCTTTTTCCTCAGATATGTATTGATTCAGTGACTGTAGAATAGTTTGAGTATGCAGGTCGTATGAACAGAAATCCTAGCTTTGCTACTTTGGGCAGAGTGAGGTTACTGGATCTTATCATTTCCTTAGTATTTTAGTTCCCTGACAGGTAGAATCAGAACTAGCATATCTACACTCTTGTGGGGTTATTGCAAGGCATAATGAATGAAAATTAATCCAAAGTATCTTGTAAATAAAGTGTTCAAGAAATATATAAAGTTGTATACTGATTTTGATTTTGATATTAGCTTTTTAATATTACCTTGTCCAGGAATTGTTATCTGTCACTTCTCTCTGTTTTCCCTCCAGAAGACAACATGGTAAATGTTAAAAACTGTCTGAAGGCCTTGAGGGACACCCAGAAGTTTTCCAATTGTATTGGTAAGAACTTTATGATAAAATTGTTAAAAGGCAACAACACAGAACTCATTCAAAAGTCATCTAGTCAAATACTGTATTTGGTGCTTAAATCTTCTTTGTAGCATCTGTGCCAAATGTTTGTTTCATTTATATTTGAACACTTCCAGTTATATAAAACTTTACTTTTTTCATTTAAGAATTGTGCATTTCTTTTGGTTTATCCAGCAGTCCCTGGTTCATTAATGTTGTTATTTTCTAAATATTTCCAGTTGTGTTTTGATTTTTTTTTGATGTAAGAGTTAAGAGAAAACTTTAAATTTCAAAGCAATTTGAATTTTTCCCCATCTTTGTTGTTTATTTCTATTTTATTGTAGTTTTACTTTATTTTATTGTAGTCAGAGAATGAGGCCTGTAGTAGAGGATTTGATAGATCCCTACTTCACTAAATATTGAGTTTCTACAATTTTTATATATTTATTTAAAAATAGAATTAGTGGGTTCAAGGACAGGGTAATATCCTTTTATTTCACTGTTTGTCTTGGAAATCTTTATGACTTTTTTTCTTTTAAAGATTTTTATTGGGGAATTGGGGAATGGGAACAGTGCTGGGGAATTGGGGGAAGGTGGACAGACAAGTTGCTGTCCTTTTGTTATTCAGTCTAGTTGTGGAGGACGTTGCTTCACTGGCCCAAGATGGCACCATCATTGCGCTCTTCCTGGGCAAGGCAGATCAGTCGCCGGCTTCTGGACAGCCTCTCACAGTGGCTGCTAAACTCAAATTTGTGTTTTATATGTGCATATTATCAAGTTGGAAACCATTGATGCATATTTTATGTTAATTTACTATAAAACTTAATATAACAAGATGTGTATTTACAAATATAATTTTGATCATTTGACATATAATTTTTAAATGTAATGAGTAAATAAGCTGAAATTCCATGATAAAAAAAAAATTTATCCAAGGGTTTTCTAGCTTTTTTTTTAAGTGAAAGACTCTTTGATAAATACAAGTTATTGTTGAATAATTAAATTAAAGCATTTGTCTCTATAACACACTATATACGTATTGAGCTGCTGTCTGCCCTATTTACAAAGAATTTACCTGATTTATCTATACTCTTTCTGGGATGAAATCAGATGGATTTACCCATATTTAGAAAGCCATTCCTGCCTTTAAATTTAGCTTCAGATAAAAAGTAAAATCAGATTTGCCTCCCAGGGACCAATTAGTAATGTCTGAAGACAGTTTTTGTTGTCAAAACTGAGGGAAGAGGATTGCTGGCATCTAGTGAGTAGAGGCAAGGGATGTTACTAAACATCTGACAATGTAAGGACAGTGTTTCTGCCCCAAATAATTATCTGGCCCCCAATGTTAATTGTGCTGCAGTTGAGAAATCCTGTTTTAGAGTTATCTTATAAAACTGCCCAAACCTACTATTTTGAGAGTATTTCTAAATAGGTTAGTTGTTTTGTTCATCAACCAATTTTAAAAATTAAGGTAAATTTAACAACTTTCTTCTAACTTCCCTTTGCTTCAAGTTAATATCTGGACTAGTTGGGAGTTATTCTAAACTGTTCTTTAACTGCAGTATGGTCCATCGATGCAAATGAACAGATTTTATTTCTATCATTTGTCCTTCAAATAGATCTCTGTACCGGTTTGCATTTCTGTTGGAAGCGTGTGGGATGAATGGGTATAACTGCGACCTGTCCTTAGGGAAAGCTTCAGGATTAGATGGACGATAGATAGGCGGGTTAGCAGAGATAGGGAAGGACAATTCAGACAACTGATTAAAACTTTTATTGAATATATGAGCTTGGGGATTAACCTGCCCTCTTAGGGAGAAAAGAAACATCTGTGACATTAGAAACTGCCACATTTAAGGAGGATGACAAATCCATGAAACAGTCTAAGAAGTGAGAGGGACATGAAGAGGGAATAATATTCTGGAAGCCAGGGCAAGATTTTTGAGAAGAAGGGAATAGTCGTCAATGATAAATGTTACTGAGAGATGAAGCATTTAATCTATCCATTGGTTTCCTTTCAAACTGGATGAGATCAGGGTGCTCTTCCTTATCACGTAATATCTCTCTCTCTAAACTTGCAGATTTTAGGAAAGAGGCTTCATCTTCAAATTTGAAATTACCAACAGCAGATGGTAAGAACTTTATAAGAGAAAACAGTCCCTATAAAAAGAATTGTTTTTTAGGATCTTTGCCAAGTGCCAACGGATTGCCGGTCCTTCCGCCCACTCCAGCCAGAGTGATATTTTTTTCTAAAATAGTAATCTGATCATGTTGCCTCCCCCTATTTATAACTCTTTAAACATTCCCATTGTCGTTAGTATAAAGATCAGAATCCTATATGCCCCACCTCTCGAGCATAATTTTGCGCCATTGTTCTTGCTTTCTGTCCTTCAACTACATTGGCTTTCTTTCAATTCCTTAAATACTCTCTTCTCCTCCCACAGAAAGGCTTTTGCATATCATATTCCCTGTAATATTTTTCCCTGACCCTCTTTGCCTGGTTAACATTTATTCATCTTTCAGAGGACGGTTAGGTTCCTCAGGGAAGCCTATCATCATCTGCTAGTCTAGGTCAGTTTCCTTTGTTATAGGCTCTTATTAAACCATGTCTCTTTCATAGCACTTATTTCATATTAGAAATATCCATTCATGTTTTTTATTATTTGATTAATGTCTCTTTCTCCCACTTGCCTGGAAGCATCACTGGGCCAAGGACCATGTCTCCACTTTGTTCACCATCATCTTTCCAGATCCTAGCAAAATTCTGGCTCTCAGCAGGCTCTTAGTAATAACTAATATTAATAGTTAATACTTATATTTTCTGTGCTAGGCACTGTTCCAAATCTTTTATGTTTTTAACTCATATAATTGTATATATTTATGAAATGAACAAATCACTGGATAAATGTCCTCATTATTTCTTTAGCCTCATCTCTCATCAGTTCTGCATTTGTACTTATTCTGTAGCCATACTGCATATTATAATTTAAGTTGGCTCCGTTTGCTTTGGGCTCCAAGTCTTAGCATATGTTGTTTCCTTTGTACATATTTCCTGTTAGACAAACTTACTTTTTTTTCCCCCTCAAACTCAGCTCAAATGTCACCCCCCGCCCCATAAGATTTCCCAGAGTTTATCGCTCCTGAAATCTAGATTAGGTGAAGCTTTGCAGTGCTTCCATGGCCTCTTGTGCATGTTTTTCTCATAGTACCAACTATATAATGTATTATAATTTTGTTTACAGACATGACAGATGTAGTCTGTGACTTCGAGGAAATTACAGGAAACTCTTTGATGACAGGGATGAAGTTTTCATTGTTGGTCTCAGTAGATATAAAATAAATGTTAGTAGAATGGATATAGGTCTAAGATAGTATTATGGTATTCTTTCCAAGTAACCTCCATAAAGGTTAGATCTGCTGGTGTAATGCAGCAATTTTCATACCATGAAAACATATATGACAACTCCATTGTGGGGTTGAGGGAGAAACTGAGTTGAAAATAGTATTGATGAAATATTAAAACACCCAGTAATGATTATGTTTTATATTTTAAATTGGTCTGGTATCAGCACGACTCCCCATTTGGTTGTATGGATTGTGCCTTACACAAAGGTTCCAGGTTGAGAGAGTACACATGGAGACTGAAATACAGTCTATATTCCACTGTGCTCACCAACCTTTGAACCAGTGCTAGATATCGGCTGCCCAGAAGAAGGTGTGCCTTCTTCTTTGTAATTGATACATAACGAGGGGGCACCTTTTTCCAATTCACACAAAAGCACAATATGGACTAGCAGTGGCCTGGGGATCAAAAATTCAACCTCAAATTTTAGCCGCTATTTGTTTATCTTATCAGCTGATAGAAATTTTTAGACCTATATGTAGAGGACATAGCTATTATTTAAGAAAGGCTTACAGCTCATTCAACATTTAATGGATGAATGGATTCATAAAACCCACAATATTTACTTTGCCATGAAATTTTTTTATTTCAAATGCTGCGTGAAGTAAGTGGGTTATCAGTTATAAATAGAAAATATTTTGCTTTTTTTGTTTAGAGATTTGGGTTAGAATGAATTTTTTGTGAGTGTTTGCCTATAGTGGACTTTGGACAAATTATTTTGAATTTTTTTCAAACAGTAATATCTTGTATAGATTTACTTTTTTAGGGATTAAAGAAGCTGCTCATATCTTGTCACCTGTTGATAATGACAAAACTGGTACACCTAACGTGGAGCATGCTCTTAGAAGTTGGAATGTTAATTTAACTGAGGAGGACTTCCATGAGGCCCTCAAATGTTGTGACATCAATGATGAGCAATTTTTTGGCTTGAGATTCTTTTCATTTTCCCCTATATATGTGAAACAACCTTAGAGCGTATATATGAGTATATGTTCTCCTGTTTCATAGGTTGCCTTTTCATTTTGTTGTTTGTCTCTTTTGCTGTGCATAAGCTTTTAAGTTTGATGTAGTCCCACTTGTTGATTTTTGCTTTTGTTGCTTGTACTTTTGGTATCATATTAAAAAAAACCATTGCCATGGGGCCGGCCGAGTGGCGCGTTGGTTAGGAGTTGGCTTGGGACACCAGCTCTGAGCAGCAGGGCCGCCAGTTCAGATCCCACATATGAGGGCCAGTGACGCTGCACCCTCTACAGCTAAGATGGTGAACAACAGCTCGACCTTGAGCTGGGCTGCCTTGAGTCGCTGGCGATGGCATAGACTGCAGTGAAGTTGCAGTGGGCTGCCCTGAGCAACCGTGTGTGGCCAGCAGTCAGTGTGAGTGGCCAGCAGCCGGTGTGAGCTGCGAAGAGCCACCATGAGCGGCTGTCCAGAAGCCAGCAACCAATCTGCCTCACCCAGGAAGAGCACAATGATAATACCAACATGGGACAGTGAAGCAACGTCCTCCACAACTAGACTGAAGAACAAAAGGACAGCAACTTGTCTGTTCCCCTTCCCCTGATTCCCCAGCACTGTTCCCAGCCCCCAATTCCCTAGTAAAGTCTTTAAAAAAAAAAAAAGACCATTGCCAAGACCAATGTCAAGGAGCTTCTTTCCTATGTTTTCTTCTAGTCATTTTATGGATCAAATCTTATGTTTGAGTCTTTAATTCATTTCAAGTTAATTGTGAGTGGTATAAGTTAGAGGTTCAATTTAATTTTTCTGCCTGTGGTTATCCAGTTTCCCCAGCACCGTTTATTGAAGAGACTTCTTTCCCCATTGAGTGTTCTTGGCTTTGTCTTAAGTATTATTTAACCATATATATGGGGGTTTATTTCTGGACTCTTTCTTTTCTTCTGTTGGTCTATGTGTCTGCTTTTATGCCAATGCTGTACTGTTTTAATTACTATAGCTTTATAGTATAGTTTGAAATCCGGAAGTGTCATGCTTCTTTGTTATTTTTTCTCAAGATTGCTTTGGTTATTCAGTGTCTTCTGTGGTTCCATACACATTTTAAGATTTTTAAAATTTTTCTTTGTGAAATGCCATAGAAAGTTTGATAGGAATTGCATTAGATCTATAGATGCTTTGGTTAGTATGGACATTTTGATAATATTAATTCTTTTGATCCATGAGCACAGGATATTGTTCCATTTGTTTGTGTCTTGTTCAATTTCTTTCATCAAAGTCCTGTAGTTTTCATTGTACATATCCTTCACTTTCTTGGCTTTACTTCCTTTTTCCTCTTACTTTTCCTTCCTTTCATTCCTTTGCAGTTTTGACATAATGCTTGAGGCTTCTAAGCCTTCTTGAATTTGTGGCTTAAGATCTTCAGTTTCAGAAAATTCTTAACCATTATTTCTTTAAATATTTCCTGCCCCTGTCTCTCTTCTCTCCTTCTGGGACTCCAGTTACATAAACGTTATATTTTCTCACTGTTTCTCACTCTCTCTTCTGTATTTTTCATCCTTTTGCTTCTTCATGCTCATTTTGTGTTTTCTTCTGACCAATTTCCCAGTCCACCAGTTCTCTTGCTGTGATTATTCTGCTGATAAATCCATTCACTGAATACTTAATTATGGTTAATACATTTTTCAGAACTAGACTATTTGATTTTTTTAAAATGGTTTTTACCTCCTTGCTGAAATTCTCAATCTTGTCATTTATCTCTTTGAACATAGCAAGCATAATTATTTTGAAGTTTAATTCTAATACTTTTCCCCCAATATCTAGAAACCCTGTGTGTCTGTTACTAGTTTCTTCCTGGCACTTGGGGCCTAATAATCCATCAAATTTCAGGGATTAGGATAATTCAAAGGTGAATTGCAGTTCCTGCAATGCCTGTTTAATTTGGGTTAACCATTCTCCAGCCTCAAGTGAGAGAGATTTACCACAGCTCTCTCCTCTTCATGGATTCTGGATTCTAATTCTTGTCCCTCTAGCCATGCAAGGCTTTCAAAAGTGCTGCACATCCTGTTAGACTCCCAGCAGCATCTTATGTGATTGTTAAGTGCACCCAGCTGAAAAGTAGCCTCATGTGTTCTGCTGTCTGACTTACTCTAGGTCCTATCCATGTTAGCTCTTTGATGCTATGAATCTTATGTGGTTTTTTTGGGCCAGCTTTCTATAAGTTATCTTCAGTGAGAAGGTTGATTCAAATTACCTGAATTCCCTGGTGAGTTTTTGTCTAGTGGTTCTAGTAATTGCAGAGAGAGATTTATTAAAATCTTCTATGTAGTCTCTGTTTTTTTTGTCCTTGTAGTTCTACCAATTATTTCTTTGTTTCTTTTTCAATAGATTTTTTTAAATTGAGGTATAACTTACATACACTGAGATTCAATTCTTACATGTACAACTTAATACATACACAAGAATGTTCATAACAGTTTTCATAATAGTTACTCAGGATAATTCAAACCTGGTACAACTCAAATTCCATCCATGAACAGTAGAATGGATAAATTGTGATAGTCATATAATGGTATATAATGTGATAAAGAATGAACTACTACAATCAGAAGGTTACAAATGAAACTCAGATATAAAGTTGAGTGAAAGCAACCAGACACAAAAAGAACATACAGTATTATTTTATTCATATGATGGGAAATAACTGGCAGAATTAATCTATGATGATAGAGATCAGAATAGAAAATGAAATAGATAAGTTACAACTCTGAGAAAATATTCACAATTCTCACAACTCACAAAGGACTAGTATTAAGAATAAAAAATTCCAACCAATCCGTAAGAACACAAACAGCCCAAAAGAAAAATGAGCAAGAGAGTCAAACAGGTATTTCATAGAAGAGACACATGTGGCTCATTATCAGATAAGGAGGCATCTGACATTATTCTCGATGATTTTAGGAATGTATATACAGGTACAATAAGATCACATTTAAAAAGATAGCAAAGGCATGGTGTACGCTGGACTCGTGATAAAGGGATGGAGAAGGCAGAGGGATGGGTTTGTAAGGGGAACCCTCTGGTTAGATGCTGATTATTTCGAAGACCTAGCTTTTGTTTTCGGCTTAAGTTTGCTGGCATTTATTATAAAATTGTTTGAATTAACCAAACAAATAAAAGTGGGCCATGTGTGGACTAGTAATGTTTCAGGAACCAAGGATATTATTTATTCTAATTCTGTGCATGTAATTTCTAATAATAAGTTAAATCTGTTCCATTGTTCTAATTTTCCTTGTTTTCAGGGATTTCATTTATATACATATCAGAGCTTCTTTGTCACTTAATCTATCACTTTTGTTCTGAACGTTTTTTGGGTTTTTTTTGGCATAGGTTTTCTCTTCCTCCTTTTCTCCCCTTCCTCCTTTTTCTTTTGGCTTTCATTTCTGTTCTCTGTGTTACTACAGTTTAGTCATATCCATTCTACCTTGAGGACTTTTATTTAAGCCTATATTTGGAGCTGACTTTGTGTTTCTCTGCAGTCTGTTTCCTGAGTTCAGTCAGCTCTCATTTCAAATCTTCCTTTGTCCATTTCTACTCTGATTTGTTGGAAGAGTTCAAGGTATTGGGTGGCTTATACAGTTTAAGAGTGCCCTCTTCAGTTTTTACATTGAAGTACGTTTACTTTAATAAATGGAACCTTTTGGGGGGATGAGTCTTCTAACATTTTAATGCCATTTAGTAGGGACTTCGTCTTTAACTGCTTCCTTCTTTTCCTTCCCTACCGAACCCCATGCAGTGCTGTTCCCTATCCAGGTGCCACCTTCGGTCCTATGGATTTCCAAGCCCCCTTTTTTTAGTTTCCCAGAGGTTATAGCTCTGATCCATCAGACTCTGAACTGTTCTCAGCAATTCCCCATTCAAGGTGGGACTCTTTCCTTGTGGGTAAACTCTAGTTGATATTATCTGTGTTCTGCCTTAAAAGGACCCTTCCTCATTCTTTCTTCTGTGAAATGGTCACCTGATTTCCCACTTTGGTGTGGGCTCTGCAGCCAACTGTATAGGTCCTAGATTTTTATTTCTTGACTTACATGTAAATTAAAGTTCACAATATTCTGCCTCTTAGTTAAGCTGTAGGCATGGGCTATGGGTTATTTTATTTGCTTTACTTGTTATTTTGTATGGGTTTTTAGAGGCCATGTAGAGAGAGTAAATTTAAGTGGCTACCATTATCCTAAAGAAGTGTTTCTTAACCTTTTTTCTGTTTATTATCATTTCCTTAAGGAGCCTTTTTAGACAGCTTTTGTTACTTATCACCCCTACACACACACACACACACACACACACACACACACACACACTCTATGTGAAACGATGTGTTAACTAACCTATAGTGTAATCATTTCACAGTATATACATATATCAAATCATACACTGTACACCTTAAACTTATATAATGTTATATGTCAATTATATCTCAATAGACCTAGGTGGGGAAGCAACAGTAACACCTGATAGTTGAAAATAATAGTATATGTTTATGAATTTTTTAGTAGTTTAGAATTTTTCCATTTTTCTCCCTTTCCTTTCAAGGTTTTCCAGGAGGGAAGGTTAATGTAAATAACCTGGATACTGTTTTAAAAGCCATGAAAGTCAAGCTTATGGAAAAGGAACTTGATCTAATAAAGAATCCTCTGAGTGGTGAGCATTATGGAAAACCCTGTTATTTTAAACAGAGATTGAGCTTGCAGATTTAATGATGACTGTTTCAAAGGTTTAAATTATTTGTTGCCCAAAAGACATTTGATTAGCTTTCAGAAGAACTCAGGGGAAAAAAATGGCTCTTTGTTTTTGTTCCTTTAAAACTTGTTCTCTATTTCTTTATATATCTTGGGGTGGGACTGGGGTGCTAGTGAGACAGGAAGAGATTATTGTTGCCTGGTTTTACAAAATTAGGATCTGCAACGTGTTTTTCTCACTGACATCACTCTAGGGTACAACCCAATTCATTCAGCCATTCCTCATTTGTCTGTTCATGGATATTGAGATGCTTCCTTTTTTGGTCACTGTAACAAAGAGATTACAGAATAATATGTATATTATTATTAATTTTTTTTAAAGATGTATACTTTTATAAACATAAGAGAAGCCTGGAAGGACATATACAAAACTGTTAGTAATGGTGAGGTGTGGTAATGACTTTGAGGAGAAATAAAAGGAGGGACCATTTACTTTTTCTTTATATACTTACGTATTTTTAAAATTTGTTATACAAAGTACGTTTTTAAATCTTTTTTTTTTAATCTACTTTGTTTTTAGTTTAAGGTGGATATAAATGATGTGTTAACTGAGAAGACTTTGGTTTGGTTCTTATCTACCATTTAGATTCAGGGAATCACTAAACTGACCACTTACACAATTAGTTCCTAGCTAACATTACTCACTGCTTTACACTAGTATCTATCTGCCCATTGCATTAATACTTGGCAACATAAATAGCAATCCTTACGAAGATTGAGAAAAGATGCATAATTTCAAGAAGGAAGTGAAAGTAAAGTTTAAGAATTACTCAGATCACGCAAAGCCACTTACAAATGTGGACCTGGCAGTTAGACCATGTAATAATTGAAGAAGAAAAATTCTACATGAATAATAACATGGTAGGTCATTCAAAATAGAATGATTTGGATTTCAAAGGATTTAAAGGAGCCCTTGGAAAAAAATCAATCATTTTTGCAAAAGTTATTTTTATGTGTCTTGTTTCAAAGTTCAAAAGGATGTTGTAGTGTGCAATAATCCAATTTTCTCAGAAAACCACACCACAACACACTTAAAAGTCAGCATCAATTCATTGCTTGTTCTAAGAATTGTGAAATAGTGACAATTATAACCTGAATTTTCTCAAATATTAGATAAACTTATTTTCATAATTTGCATTTTTCTTTAATAAAATCCTTTGAATCATTTTTATTCATTATTTACTATTAAATCTTAGTCCTAATTTTAAGTGGATTTATTTTCCCTGTCATCTTCTAATAATAATAAATCTTCGATAAAGACCTCCCATCCTATGTATCTTTTTTGAGTCTATGGTAATAATATTACCCTAATTACTTTGTATTACAACCCATGAGAAAGTTGATCTGAAAACACTGATGGATATAATAGAAGACGTTAAAGGTGAGGAAAAAGTTACCAAATACATATAATTCTGATGTTTGACACATTTTATATTGTTTCTGTTACTTTTTATTCCTTTTTAAATTATGCTTTAGAAAAAATGATTGTGCTTTGATTGCCTAGACTTTGAGATTGGCTTATCAATGTTTTAACAAAACATGGTGCTACTTTTGTTAGGCTCTATAATCTTTTCCATATTAATCTATAAGTTTTTCCATGTTAATCTAAGGTGTTTACTGAAAATATATGTCAGTACAATAAAAAGAAACTAAAGTTTTATTACCCGATGGTAATCTCCCACAATAGAAAATAATGAAAATCCATTACCATGTATTGTGCTATTATATTTTTGTCTATTATTACAAAGGTTAAAGAAATAAGCACTTTAATTTTCTACCATAACTATAGTCAAACAGCACTCATTTGACTTTCTTATGCATTTAGTAGGTGGGCTAATAGTTAAACAGTAATAGATTTCATTATTATTTAGAATAATTAGTTCTTTAAAATCTCACATGTTACTGTTTCTATCCTTTTGAAGGAGAGGAAGTTGATATCAATGATGTGGAAACAGTTCTAGGAAACATGGGGATAGAGCTCACAGAAAAAGAACTCTCAGAACTGGTGAATAATCTGCCAGTTGATAGTGAGTATTTCAAATAAAAATACAGTTGACTAGGGAAGCTTATTGTTCAATTGTGAAAACCTCTAAAATTATCTCTATCTTACTGTTTGTCAAAAATAATGTAATGATCCATGTTACATAATTCTAAATGATCCTATTATATCTTAAAATACTATCTGTGCCATTTAATTTTTAGTTTGAGAATCAACCATTATGTCATCATGACTCCTATGATCAGGGTTCAATTATATCTTTTATTACTTTTGATTTTATCAAGAGATCTAAAATGTAAGCCAGAATAAATGTGAAAAAGAAAGAAAAGGGAGGAACCTAATAGGGGAAATGAAAATATCACAGAAGAAAAGGAAAAGATACATTTCAGCATGGGAGAGTGCCAGTATCTCCATTCTATATAATTTCATTATTTGTCAGTAAATCAGAAAGTTTCTAAGGCTATTTACAAAATATGCCGTACTGAATTTATTGGTTTTATACTACCTATGAAACTGGACATTGCTCTTCTGTGATCTGAATAGTGCTTCTTCTTACAGATGGAAAGGCCTATCAAAAAAGGTTGCTGGATGTTATAAAGTCTCTTAAAAGTGAGTGAGAAACTTAATAAAATGCAAATCAATCTGAGATCATCATGTTTGGCATTTATACTATTTTCTTTGTGATTGAATTATAGGCTCTACCACCTAACATTTATACTTAACATACTTTTGGGGTGTTTTTATAGATCAACCTGTTCTTTAGGAGGTCATTTCTTATGGTGTAACTTGGAAAGGAGTCCCATGCTCTCTTGGGATTTTCCAAACTTTGACAGGGGAAGAAATTATCAGAGACCCAGGTGGCATAGCAAAAGTGAAGTGAAAATGAACACATCTTCAGTTAATGTAGTCAGCAAAAGAGACTAGTAATCTGACAGTCAGATTAAAAAAAATTTAAAAAGCTAGACAGTCTCCAAGGAAGTGAAGAGACAGATTAAAGAGATGGAAAGGAAGCTGGCCAAGAGGGGAGGTCATGCTTAAGCAAGGTTCCCACTCTTCCATCATTACTACCACCTTCTGAATCCACACACCACTGGTATTACTATTAATATTTTTGTTTAAATTAATTTACTTTTTGACTTAAATAAAAATAATAATAATAATGGTAATGGAAAACCAGCATCTCTTAACATAACTAGAAGTTTGCTGTAAAAATAAACACATTGAAAATAAGACATTGGTTAGAAACATTGGAATTATTGTCACCTTGCTAGAATTCTCTGAGAAGTTATTCAGTCACCTTTAAATTTTTATACTAGGTATGCTTATCATGAAGATTAAGATTAAAACAAGAAGCTCTAATTCTAACTCCATTATTGACTCTTTCTACTCTTGTAAAGATCTCATTAGGCTTTGGTCTTTTGGATGAAAATGATAACCATAATTGGCAGGAATTGAGAGTTTACACTACCTTTTAGGGACATTAACCATTGCTTATATATCTCTCTTTTCATAAGGAGGAAAGATTGATTCCAGTAAAGTGGATACAGTTTTGAAAAACATGGGCGTGAACCTCACTGAAAAGGAGCTTAAAGATCTAACACAAAACTTGCCAGTTGATGGTGAGCATTTTAGATATCACTGAACCTTACAGAAAAACCAACTGAAAAAATACCTTCCCTTTTAAAGAGTAATTTCAGTTTGTTCAGATTTGGTGTAATGCTGGATATATTTAATTTTATTCTTTCATCTTATTTTATGTTTATTATTTATTTTCTACTATTGTTTTTTTGTCCTTATGCTTACTATTACTGGTTTGTTCAAGTTATTATTCATTGTATTTGTTTTCTTCCTAAATTAATTTGGAAACCCCATAGGAGTCACATTCCATTAATTCTTACATTCCTTTTCCTCTTATTCAATGTCATACTAACATATGACTTAACTGTTACTGGCAACAAAACACTGCTTTATTTCCCATCAAGATACTCTTTCCCATTAGATACTTCTTTTTACTTTTATCTTCCCCTCTCCCACCCCCCACACACACACACACACACACACACACACACACACACACACACGCAATCCCAATAGGCTGAAACTTTCAGAATACTCATGCATTCCCCCACTTCCCTCCACTCCCCACCATGAGATCTTTGGAATGTCTTGACTTCCCCAACTGTACATCCCCAACTCTCACAATCAACTGCCAGGATTTACTGAGGTAATTTAGTACTTACTAGAATTTCTCTTAAATAATCTCCTTTCTATTTTAGATTCTTTATTTAGCACTTAATAGTACACATTCCATGGCAGATTATTTTGTAACTTACGGAAAGGCAGGAAACTTCTGTTCTGGCATCTCTGTACTTTCACCACCTCGGCCCACTTATTTTGCTGCTGCTTGGCCTTTGAGGGGGTCAAAGGAATCAGAATGCCCTTATGCTGGCAAGTAGTCCTCTTGTCATGGCTCTGATCAACGTATTCCTTGTGTTACAGTTAATGGTAAGGTTGACCTGGAAAAGGTGATGAATGAAGTGAAACTTTTTTTAGGTGAGTAAGACATTATAAAACACTTTTAAACAAATCCTAACCCTATGTTATATTTTGCATAGTGTTTTTCCAATATTATATGATAAATGTATTAATGCTGATATTTTATGTATTTATAATGAAATATTTACGGCCAGCTTTTCTTCTGCCTTTACTTTGAATTATCTAGGATTCATCTATAAAAATAAGTGGTGATGTCGAAGCAATGAATTATATTTTCTATAGTTTCTGGCAGTATTATGCTGACCTTTAACCAGTGTTTAAATCAGAGGTCACAAATTGGCCCCCCATGAGTTGAATCCATCCTGCAGTCAATTTTTGTTAAGATCTGGCAGCACTGGCCATACCTTCCCTCATAACAATAGCTGGTGTGTTTTCTCTTTGGACAAGGCATGTGGTGTCCACTTCACCACAGCCACTTTCACTCATTTTTTCTACCTCCCGGCTCCAGCAAGCTTTTCAGTTAATAGCTGTTAGTTTAATTAGCCAAAATCTAGGTAGGCACAGGATATAGGAAGATGAATATTTTTAGAAAATTAAGTTGAATAAGGTTTCTTTCAATAATCACAGTTCAGCATTAAAAAGAAAAAAAACTAGATACCTTAAACTACTGGCCAATTATGTAATCGAATTTTCATCCATGGTGTCTTGCCACCACACTTCCAAGACCACTCACTCTCTCTTTATGAAAAATCAAGGAATAAATTCTGTCTCACTATCCTGAAACATTATTGGAATATATGAAAATATGAAAGTGAGGATGGCATTATATGAGCCAGCTTTTGCATTATTTCAGATCATTAGAATGTCCTAGAATTGCCATGTTTCACCAACCCTTTTTTCTTTCAAAGGAAACAAAGCTGACACCAGTAAACTTGAAAGTGTTTTGGGAAACTTGGTGATGGAGCTCACACCTAATAAAAACTCAAACTTGCTGAAGACACTGCCAGCTAATGGTAAGCCTTGTGGGTGCTATCTGAGATTTTTAGGAAGTCTGGTTTTTTGAAACTATGTGAAACATTACAAAATAAACTAAAAACGCTTGAAAACTATTAAAAGCTAATGCTAATACAAAGAAAACTTTCATCACTTAGATTTGGATTTTAAAATCATCACTCTAACTACCTTTCAGCCATCAGTGTCTATCAGAGGCAAAGTTCATTACTCAGCCCCCAGGTAGCTGATCAGATGGATTTGTAAAAATAGATTAAAAAAAAGAAGAAGAAGAAGGAGACAAGCAGGAACAAAGAGAAGATAAAAAACTAACTCAATGTAGCCGTTTCTGCAGTATTGAATACATAGTCTACCTATAAGTGGATAATTTTATACATTGAAAAAAGGCTACCGTTCTTAACTTCCTTATTAGATAAAACAAAATCATTTAGGAAAATAAAATATGCTTTTACTTCCATAACACAAAGATAACCACTATTAATATTTTGGTGCATTTCCTTCTAGTGCTTTTAAGATCAACACACACATAATATGTACATACATACATACATACATAATATTTATGTGTATATTAATTTACTTATAACTCATCTCTTCACAATGTTAATATGTGTATTCATCATAGAAACCTTAATAAAGTAAAACCAGCTCTAGTCCCACCTCAAAGAGATAACTACTGTAAAAAATTTGAGGTATATTTTTCCATTTCTCCATCTATAGAATATATGTCCTTTTTTATTTGGCAACCTTGTGAATAAATCTTTGCAAACATCCTAAAATTTCTTGAGATTAAGTTCCTTTAAAAATCCTTTAAGTAGAGTTGCAAAATGGAATGTATTTTGCCTTGTCACATTTCCTTCCAGAATATTGTACTTTGAACTGCCACAAACAGCATTTGAGAATGTTATTTTATCATACATTCTCGATACAGAAAAGAAAAGAGCATCTCATGACCATAATTTCCATTTCACCCCTTTACCGCTGAGAGCGAACTTTTGGTATATCTGTTATCTATCTGCATTTGAAATGTGCCTTAGGCAAAGATTTCTAAATTTTTCTGAAATTAAAAGATGTGTACTATCTTTCTGACTCTATTTCCGAAATCCCCCCCTTTTTTTTTTATAGCTGATAGAGAAGTGTATAAGAAAAGGTTGATGAAGGGCATAAAGTCTCTCAAACGTGAGTAAGAAGCACAGTGAAAAGGCTTAGTCTGAAACTTTTATTTGTATTGTTAAAATATGAATCCTCCTTCTGTGTAAGGGAGTATTTATGCTTCCTTCAGTAGATCTGCATTTTACCAGGTGTTTACCAAGTCATTCCCTGAACTAAGTTTTGGCAGAATGTATTAAACTTTTTTGGATTTACCTAGTTCAGTTCCAAAGAAACAAAATAAATTTAAAAATACAAAGCAAAAGGTAAAGGATGAAGGCTGTCAGGTAAAAATTTCAGTCAAAAGCAGAGACATAATTTGAAAGTATATTAAAAAAATAAAGTTTTGTTCTGCCGAATATTATGTCAGTCATCTCTAGCTGTAGCCTTTCAATATTCCCAACATAAAATTGGAGGAAATAAGTTCTAATTTTTATACTCATCTTAACTGGACGTGACTGGTGTTTTGGAGTTTGTCTTGAAAAATCTTTGCAATAAGAAATCAGTGAAATGTTTTTTATTGTAATAAAACACATGCTCAGTAAATAAGAGTAATATGATAGCAGAGTGAATGTGCAGCCTAGTTTTAGAATCATTCAATTTTACTATATTCCTTTCCTGTCCCATACTTAGGAGGTAATGTTTCTGTCAATAAAGTGGAAACTCTTTTAGAAAATATGGGAATCAACATCACAGAAAAAGAATTCATGGATCTAATAGAAAGACTGCCAGATGATGGTGAGCACTGTGAATCACACCTATATTTTTAAGGGGTGCTTATTCTTCTTTTCCATCTTTATTGAGATATAATTGACATATTAATTGACATATAACGTTGTGTAAGTTTAGGATGTACAACCAGTTGATTGGATACACTTTTCTATTGCAAATGATTATCATCATAGCTTTAGCTAATACCTCCATCATGTCACATAATTATTCTTTTTATAGTGGAAATATTTAAGATCTACTCTCTTAGCAACTTTCAAGTATATAATACAGTATTATTAACTGTAATCACCATTCTGTATATTAGATCCTCAGAATTCATTCACCTTATAACTGAAAGTTTGTACCCTTTGACCAATATCTCCCCATGTTCCCCACCCTCATCCCAGCCCCTGGTAACTACCATTCTACTCTCCATTTCCATGAGTTTAGCTTTTTTAGATTCATATATATATATATATATATAGCATTTGTATGACTTATTGCACTTAGCATAATGCCCTCAAAGTCCATCCATGTTGTCACAAATGGCAAGCTTTCCTTCTTTCTCATGGTTCACTAATTTTCCATTGTATGTGATATACCACATCTTAACCGTTCATCTGTTGACAGACACTTAACGTTGTTTCCATATATTGGCTATTGTGAATAATGCTGCCATGAACATGAGACCCTGCTTTCATTTCCTTCTATATATACCCAGAAGTGGAATTGCTGGATCATATGATAGTTCTATTTGTAATTTCTTGAGAAACTTCCATACTGTTTTCTTTAGTGTACCAATTTACTACCCCACCCAGCCCCAACAGTGAACAAGAGTTCCATTTTCTTCACGTCCTCACCAAGTATTTGTTGTCTCTTGACTTTTTGATTCTGGCCTTTCTTACAAGTGTGAGGTGATATCTCATTTTGGTTTTGATTTGCATTTCTCTGAAGATTAGTGATGTTGAGCATCTTTTCATGTACCTGTTGGCCATCTGTATGTCTTCTTTGGAAAGATGGCTATTCACATCCTCTGCCCATTTTTTAATTGGATTGTTCAGTTTTTGCTATTAATTATATTCATTTCTTATTTTTTTGGATATTAACTCCTTATCAGCTATATGGTTTGCAAATATTTTCTCCCATTCCATAGGTTGCCTTTTCATTTTGTTGATTGTGTAGTCTCACTGGGTTTTTTGTTTTGTTTTGCTTTGTTTTGCTTTGCTTTTTTTGTGTGCTTTTGGTGTCCTATCCAAAAATCATTGCCAAGAGTCATGTCAAGGAGCTTTTCCCTGTTTTTTCTCTAGAATTTTTATGGTTTCAGGCCTACACATAAGTACTTAAACCATTTCAAGTTAATTTTTATGAGTGGTACTCTGCATTGTTCCTCTTCCTGGAATTCTTTGTCTTCCTCCAATGGTGGGAAATAACATAATACCATAAATAATGGCTTTGAATATATACCAATCATGTGTTATTAGCCATTCCTAGAGAAACATGGAGTTAGAAACAGAAAGAGTGCAAAAGACTTGAGAGAACAGTTTACCTAAGATAGACATTATGGTTCAAGCAATCTTAATTCCTGTATCAGATAATGGAGCCATCTGTTAAAGTCCAAGAATTATAAATTTAAAAAGGACAAGATACAGTGAATAGCCTTCATCAGGCTCTACTTCATAATTTAAGTACTTTATGCTTTTTTCTGAGTATGAATTTATCAGTGTCTAAATTTTGCCTTGTCTTATAGATGAAGGGAAGGTCAAACTAAGTACGTTGTCAGAAGAATTGAGTACCATTTTAGGTAAGTAAGAAATTAATTCTTTATACTGGTTTAATAATATTTCCTACCATCCTTCATTCCGTTGTTGGTTTCATCATTTTAACCTTTCGTTAATTAAACATTTTCATCTATCTGCTATGTTTGTCTTGTTCCTTTGAGCTATCTGCTTTGATTACCTATGTTTTGCAACAGAGGTACTAGGTCTTTGCATAAAACAAGAAATTTCTAAATTTAGGTAATAACTGAGATACCACATGTAGACATAGTTATTTGAATAGGTCATCAACACTATGATTTTCTGGGAAATTATATTAGTCTCATATTATTACGTGTAGTATTTTTCTCCAACATTCTGAGGGCATGCCTTTAATTATAAATAAGGGGCAATGTTGTATTTCTAAGTCTGGTATTTGTTCTGTATCATGCAGCAGGTGTCTTTAGGTCTTTGTTGTTCATCTAGCAATAGAAGATGCTGCTATAGACATGCATGTTTTGTTTTGTTTTTCATAATTTAAATTCATTTGATAATGTTCTGTAGTCATCGCAACAACCTTTTCTTTTTTTTTTTTTTTTTTTTTTTAGCTGAGCCATCCTGCTACCTGTTGGCAGCTCAGCGGCTGCTCAGCTCGGGCTGGACTCGAACTGCTGTTGCTCAGAGCTCAAGCTCTTGAGCGAGCTCTTAACCAACTGAGCCACTCGGCCGGCCCGCAACAACCTTTTCTTAATAGTGTGGAAATGTTTGTTGTCCTAATTATGCATTTTGATGCTCCCTCAACCAAAGCCACAGGAGGGACCATCAGGAATTGTCCAGATCTCCACTATTGTTGATTATACTTGAGAAGAGCTGACATCTGAATGTGGGGATGATTCCATCCTGTTTTTGTATTTGAATCATTTAATTATCTGTTGATACTATGGCTGCATAGAAGCATTTAAGACTCTGAAAAGCAGACCTCAAATAGTTGTGAGACAAACAAAACTAGCTGAAAGTATTGTAAGAAGGAACTGGAAGGTACCCTGGAACATGGTCCAGTACTGCTCATGCCTGAAAGAAAACTACTCTCAATAATTAATGCCTTAAATCTACCTTAAATAACCAACTTGTCTTTTCTTTTAGCTTACATACAAATTTGACCTGTAGTGTGAACCCAAGTACAATATGAAGCATTAGCAATGATGCAAATCCCCCTCTAGTTGGCCAAAGGAAAATGCAAGGCAATTCTGTCACTTATCTAGGGAATTTTAACTGGTTAATTGTACTGAATAGGGCATGGACAGTATTATATACTAGGTCAGCCAAGGTGACACACAACTTTTTTTATTCCTGTAGATGGAATACATTATTCTTAGGACTCTGTTTTACCCGTTACTATTTATTTCCTCAGAAAAGTTTCTATTCCCTTGGACTCTTTATAAGGAGACAAGATCCACTAAGACTGTTGGAAACTCATATACTTCGAATTATCGATTAGCCCCACATAGTGAGTGACAATAAGAAGAAAGCCAAATTTCATAAATCTCAAAAGAAGAGAGGTTTTATTATGGCTGGAAAGCAGCAATTGGGATCTAGAAGAATGCCAAGTCCTAAGGCAAATGAGATATAGAAGGGAAAAAAAGTAATAGAAAAGTCTATTAGGAAGAAGCAAAGTTCAGTTACAGAAGAAGATAAGAGTCTGTAAAGGGACTGAAGATATAGAGAAATTCATATTGAATGAAATCTGAGTCCAAGAGGGCACTGTGGGAAGGGCTGAAAAGAAAGCTGGCAATGGAAAGAAAAATCAGAGTGGTAAAACATATATCAGAGGGTGGACAGAAAATTTTGAGGGGCTTACATTTTGAAGAATGGGAATGATACAGATAAAAAATATGGTTAGACGGATAACCTTGAGGCAGAAGGTCCGTGTCTGTCAAAAGTTTGATCGAGTTAGCAGATTAGGAAGTTGCTGTGTTCTATATGAGAAATCACTTCCTTGGCTGGTTACAGAGGGATATTAGTAGCTGCAGTGGTCTAAGGCTTCACAGAAGAGATCTGAAGCAGCTTGGGGGAAACAACCCTTTTCAGGCACTTGTGCAGAAGACTGGCTACCTCCTCAAAAATTCTCCTCTCAGGGGAAGCACTGCAGTGTGGTTCCAGAAGGCTTAAAACAAGAGTTGTCTTTTCCTGGAACTGAAAATGATTAGAGCATCCAAATGGTCTGCCTAAACTGCATCTTTTTTTTCAAGCTTATTGAGATATAATTGATGACCTTATATAAGTGGAAGGTACAGACTGTGATTATTTAATACATGTATATATTGCAAAATGTTTTCTACAGTAAGGTTAGTTAATACATCCTTCACCTCACAGAGTTACCATTCTGTTGTTTTCAATGCTAAACTGCATCTTCAAGCTAGAGAGAAGAGCCATGGTGACGGGACGTTTCCCATAGTAGCCATCCTACAAGCAGATTGGGAAATGGTTGCAGGGGGCAAGGATAAGTCCTAATTTCCACCTTCATAACCAGAAACTATAGCCAAGTCTATTACCAAGCCAACTGGCTAGTTTTGTGTCTTACCCATGCTTGTGATAATTTGGTGATACCCTGTCTGTGTCACTCTAGCGCTCTACATGAAAGCCCTAAGAATAAAAAACCTCCGGGCCGGCCGAGTGGCTCAGTTGGTTAAGAGCTCACTCAAGAGTTTGAGCTCTGAGCAACAGCGATTCGATGCCCCACCCGAGCTGAGCAGCCGCTGAGCTGCCAAAAGGTGGCAGGATGGCTCAGTTAAAAAATAAAATAAAAATCTCTGCATGCTTGTTTTCCTGGGGCACAAAAAAGTGGTGAACTTGTAAGATTGCATCTATCTTCCTGGCCACCCTTACAGAAGCCCAAAAAGTGTGCTGGGTGGTAGTAGCTGCCAAAAAGCGAAGAAAGCAAGCCCACCAAACCCAAGGCAAGACAGAGAGCCAGGCTGGGATAGGAGAGCAGCCCCTGGAGAAAAGCCTATGATATGTGATTAAGAAGGCTGCAAAACCATGATTTTAATGATTGCACAAAATTATATGTTAACAGCAATGTTTTCTTTATTGAAGCATTCTCTCACTCTGCCTATTTACTGGTGAATGTTTCCATATACTGACTCATAGCCTAACTTTGATCATCATCATTTTAGCCAAAAAGCTCTAAGATTATGTCTTAGCAATAGCTGGCATTCTTGCAAGGTTTACTTCACTGTTTAATCAGTAAATGCCATGTAGACATTTTTTTTATACTATAGGATCATCATTCTTTTCAACCATTACCACGTTTTACTTTTTAAAGGCAAGAAGATTGATACTAGTCATCTGGAAATTCTTCTGGAAAATATGGGAATAAAGTTCACAGAAGATAAAGGCACAGAACTACTGACCAATCTTCCAGTTGATGGTGAGCATTCAAAGTATCATAGTGGGGAAAAAAAAATCACAGTGGCCTTTAAGGAAAATTGACTATCTGGACTTATGTAACTAACACTCCCTATTTAAGGAACGCTCCACACCCCCACCACCAAAATGATTTCACCAAATTCCTGAATTTTATTCTTGAAAATGAAATCACGTAAATTTCTAGCTTAAACCCTTTAACAGTCTGTTTCTGAAATTGTACATGTTTTATTCTATTTTAAAATATCAAATTGCTGCCTGAGACTTAAATTTTCCTCTTTCTTATAGCCCAAGGAAGGGTGTATATGAACAGGCTGATGAAAGAATTAAGGTCTCTTGAAGGTGAGTGAGAATTAAAGGCAAGTAAAATTGAGGTCATCAAGCTTAGCTCTTATTTTCAAAACCTCTTCCAATTTTACAATTTTCAGGGTATAAATCCTGCGGTCCCAACTGTTTATTAATTCAATGTTTATACTTTATATGCTTCAGGTACACTACACTCATCAAAATGGTTTAACTATACTAAACCCAAAAGCATCAGAATCTTTTGTCAAAGTTTCGTGGTTGCCTTGTTTTCCTGGTATCCTCAAGCGTGGGAAAAGATACCAGCACAGTGTTTTAAAGTGTGAGGCTACTAATCTAATTCTTGTGAAGTACCTTGTACATCTGCGATAGGATGGAAAACTTTCCAGGACCCGACGGGCCTCAGGGGAGCTAATTAAGACACAAAGTAAAGGACATGATGGCAGCTGTCCTTTACAGGCACAGACTTTTATCCAAAAAAGGTTCTTCCTTATCCTACTGAAAAGTTATAATAGTATTCATATTAATAACAATAATAATAAGGTACTATAAAACTATAAAAGAATATTATCATAGTTGAAAAGACATAACAAAAAGAACAGGCAAGGATAAATTCTGCATCTAAGAACCTGGAATATATACTGGTTTTCACGCTAGTTCATTATAATATGTTTACATTTTGCTAGAACTTTATTATTTAGTAAACATTCACGAAACATCCATCTTGTACAAACCATTAAATGCCTACGTAATAGTAAGAATACAAAGTGCTTCTTGGTATCTCACCCTCGGGGGAACTTATGATCTTAGGAGTATTAGAAATAATAAAGAGTGTGAACATGCTTGAACAGTGATGGATTGGCACCCCTGACCAAGTCGTAAGAGGAGAATGAATAAGCCCAGGGGGAGCTTTAAGGTTCCAAACTGAATCTTCCCTCATAGAGTAAAAGCATCTTTTAACTGCTCTCTTGACATCCCAATTCAGTGTTTCTCAAACTTGCAATTCTATAAACTGCTTAAAATGTATCCATTGACCTCCAGTAGCTTCAGACTTTAATTTGAGAAGTGCTGACTAAAGAAACTCTTTTGTCATCACACCTGGGAGTTAAATACATAAACATGATGATTTTTATGTTGGTGACCTAAGAGCAGGTGACATGCGTACCAACTCTGTCCTTTAAGAGGATCACTTGGGGCCAAGGTGATCGTAAGCCCAAAGGGAATGTTAGCACTGACAAAATAGAAATATCATTTTTTAAACAGCATTTTTAAATTCTCAAAAAGTTTCAGACCCCTGCCTGAGAAAGACCACCCTAATAAATAATAGAGTGTTCTGATGGGAAGGACAGTGCTATAAACCTTGCTTAGAGGCACTGTGCTCGGTGAATTTTGATAGAGTGAAATGCAGGAGCTATGTTAATTAAATTGATGAGTCTCTGACATGAAAAAATAAACTTCGAGGGAAATGCTTTCAAGTGGTTGAATTTTAGGTTTCTATTTCACAATTTAAGGATTTTATATAAATTTTCTAAAAATTTTTGATACCTTTTATCTTAAAGATAATGGGAAGATTTATTTCAATGTATTGATGGATGAAGTTAATGTTACAGGTGACTGAGATGTTACAATGAGGATACATTATGTGGTCTTAAAGTTTTACATGGAACTCTATTTTTAACACGATAGTGTTTCTTCCCTTCATTCATTCATTTAACAACTATTTATTCAGCACTTACTACATGCCAGGCATTGTTATAGGTACTTAGGATACATTAGTAAACAGAGCAAAGACCACTGCCCCCATGGGGCTTACATTCTAGCAGGAGAACAAGCAATAAACAATAAACATAATAAGTATGTTATATAGTATGATAGAAATGCTATAGAAAAAAATGAAAAAGAGACTGAGAGAGTAAGGTATGTTGGAGGAAGGGGCAGTTGTGCTTTTAAATAGATAATCAGACCTCCTTGAGAAGATATTTGAGCAACTACTTGAAGGAGGCCGAAGGTTTGGGCCATGTGGAGACTTCTAGAAAAAGAGTGTTCCAGGCAGAGGGGGCAAGGGCTAAGGCCCAAAGTCAGGAGTTTTCAAGGAATAGCAAGAAGGCCAATGTAGCTGAAGCTGCGTAAGTTAGGAAAAGAGTAGTAGGAGATGAGAAGAGAGAGGTGATGGATGCAAGATTAGTCAGGGCCATGAAACCCCTACCAGACTTAAGCTTTTTTCCTGAGAGAAATGGAGAGCCATTGCAGGGTTTAGAGCAGTGACATGATATGATCTGACCTGCTTTCATCAGATCTTTCTGGATTCTATGTGGGAAATAGATGGGGGATGAGTTTAGGGGAGTGAAGGGAAGAAACCAAGGGTAGAAACAGGGAGATCATTTAGGGGGCTTTTAGAGTAATCCATGTTAGAAATTATGGTGATTCATCCCAGGGTAAAAAGCACAATGAAGATGATAAAAAAGTAGTTGGATTCTGGAGTCCATTTTTAAAGGAGTCGTTGTGGTGATGGATATTAACTAGACTTATTATGTTGATCATTTTGTAATATATACAAATATAGAATCATTATGTTGTACACCTGAAACTAACATAATGTTATATGTCAACTGTATCTCAATAAAAACAATAATAAAAGGAGACAACAGGATTCCCTGATGGATTAGATATAAAGCACTAGATAAAGGGGGAAGCCAAGAATAATTCTAAGATTTTTGTCCGACATAACTGAAAGGATGGACTTGCCATTAACTGAAGTAGAGAAAGTTGCCGGAAATACACCTTTGGGTGGAAAAAAATTAGGAGTTCAGTTCAGGACATTTTGAGATATCAAGTACAAATAGAGATGCCAAGTACAAAGCTACTCAACAGTCACAAATTCAAGAAAAGTATCTCAGCTAAAAATATACAATTGAAAGTCACAGGTGTAGACGTGGTATTTAAAGCCATCAGATTGAATAATTCACCCAAGGAGTGAGAATAGATGGAGAAGGGCAGAGGACTAAGGAGTGAATCCTGGAGTACTTCAACATTAAGAAGTGTTCAAGGAGATTAAGAAGGAGGCCAGTGAGGTAGGTGAAAAGCCAAATAAAAGATATTATATTAGCTTGGTTCCCCAGACACAAACCCTGAGACAAAGATTACACATGCAGGTAGATTACTTAAGAGGCGACTCCGGAAACACAGAGGAATAGAGAAGTGAGACATGGATAAAGGCAGCAAATAAAGTTTGTATTTATCAAGCAAGTTACCACTCAAAGTAACTGGAACCGAATCCCAATGGGTAATGTCTGGGAAATTGTATAGCACACAGCCTCAGGGAGGAGCGAGGGAGCTAGGTTATTTTTACACGCACTCCTATCAGTCATTGGTTGAGAACTGCTCGGGGGAGGGGGGCAATATTACCGCACTGGTATTTCCTGCCAGCTGAGTATAGGCAGAGAAAATTCTGTCAGCCTAGGAAATCCCTCAAAGAGATATCAGCAATGGGAAACCGAGCTAGCACGCATTGAAATGGTAAGCGGTAAAGAGATACAATCAGGGCCTCTGCAACATCTGCTGGAAGTATCAACCAGAGGAGCAAATCAACAGTCAAACGCAGCCCGTAGATCAAGTAAGATAAGAGCTGAGAGTTAACCGTTGCATAAGCCACATGGAGGCCACCGTGATATCAAAGGAGAAGTTTCAGGTAGTGCGGGTGGAAAGAAGCTTAACTGGACCGAGTTTAGGAGAAAATGGGAGGATATGATTTAGAAATAGTATGGCTGCCTGAGGGACTTTGTTGCAAACGGGAGCAAAAAAAAGGGGGAGGTAAGTAAATTGGTGAAAGTGGTGTCAAAGAGAAGGCTTTTTAAATTAAAGGTATAAAATAAGTTATGATCAAGTGGAAGTGGAGGAAATGGTGGTTTGAAAAGAGAGCATGTGAGGTAGTCAGCAAGAAGCGTAGGAAAGTTAAAGGACTAGTAAAGTATACGGTAATTGCCCAACAGAATTAAAGGCCCATTTGAGGTTCATGGGCATGGATTTAAAGTGAGAACCACTTCCGCTGTTGTTCAGCTGCATGGCTCTAGGCACAGAGTAAGCAGAAACTTGTGTTTACCCAGGAATGGGATGTTGCCAAGCGAGTATGCTGAAAGCAAGAGTAGAGCAATTTAAATCCAATCTGCCACAAATTTTCAAGACGCTTACCACTTTCTTTGCTCACCGTTGCTTCTTTTTTTTTTTTTTTTTTAGATTTTTTTTTTGGTGGGGGGAATTGGGGGAATGGGAACAGTGCTGGGGAATTGGGGGAAGGGGAACAGACAAGTTGCTGTCGTTTTGTTCTTCAGTCTAGTTGTAGAGGACGTTGCTTCACTGGCCCAAGTTGGCACCATCATTGCGCTCTTCCTGGTCGAGGCAGATCAGTTGCCGGCTTCTGGACGGCCGCTCACGGTGGCTTCTGGCTACACACGGTAGCCCATGGCAACCCACTGCCACTGGGGCTGCAGCCTACGCCGTCACCGGCAACTCACAGCAGCCCAGCTCCAAGTTGAGCTGTTGTTCAGCATCTTAGCTGTGGAGGGCAGTGTCACTGGCCCTCATATGTGGGATCCGAACCGGGGCCCTCTGGCGTCCCAAGCCAGTTCTTAACCATCGTGCCACTCGGCCGGTCCTGTGCTGGGTATTTTTAAATAATCTGGACTATATAGATTGCCATACAGAAAAAAATGTAATTACCCATAATCCCAAGTAACATTATCTTTTTATTGTAGTTCTTTCTGTTCTCTAGTCTGTGTATAGGCGTGTTGTTAAACTCTTACTGTATATTTTATGTATCCTGCACTTAATCCTAAATTTTTAGCATAAGAATTTGACCATGCCATTTAAAAATTCTTTGTAAACATAATTTTTAATGACTATATCATCGGATTGTATTATAATTTACTTAATCATTCTTTTCTTGTTGAACATTTAAGTAGTCCCCAATGTTTTGCTCTTAAACATCTGTGCTCTTTGTACATAAATCTTAATCCAACTTTATAGTCATTTTCTTTGGATAGATTCTTCCAATTGGAATTATTATGTTAAAGGATCTTAATATGTTTAAGGCTTTGTTTTATACAAGCGAATAAGAGTACCCATTACCATTATGCTCTGACCACAATAGATTTTCATATTTTTCAATCCTTGCTAATTTGATAGATGAAAAATTGAATCTAATTATTGTTTCAATTTTTTTGTTACCAATGAAGTTGAAAATGTTTTTATATCATTATGTCTTTCAATTTTTTAATTATTTGTCTGATATTTTGCCCATTATCCTATTGGAGCCTGAGCATTTTCCTATTAATTTTAATGACCTCTTTATAAATTAAAGATATTAGCACATAGTCATATCTACAGAAAATATTTTCCCAGTTGGTTGTTTGCATTTTTATTTTGTTATGTTGTATTTTTTACAACAGCTTTATTGAAATATGATTCACATACCATATAATTGATTCATTTAAAGTGTTCAGTTAGTGGTTTTTAGTATATTAACAGAGTTGTGTGACCATCACCACAATTGATTAGAACATTTTCATCACCCCAAAAAGAAACACTGTACCCATTACCAGTCACTCCCCATTCCCAACAATTCTCTCAGACCTACTGAGAGAATCTGCTTTCTGTTCATTATTTTGTATTTTGATATACAGACATTTTTCATTTTTATATCTTTAATCAGATCAGTCATTTCTTCTGTGATTTCTTCTTGCTTTATTGTATTTAGACAATCTCTTACTATCTAGACATCATATAAAAAATTATATACACTTTATCCTTGTTTTCTTGAGATTACACTTTCTACGTTGAATTCATCTCAAATTTGACATTGACTCTTTGTAAATCCTCATATTTTATAATGATTTGCTTAAAACTACAGCAATAGTTTTCAATTATTCTGCCTCATTAACTATAATTTTTCTTTATGTAGAATTACATTAAGAAGGTAATTTATTGTTAGTGTCACAAGTTTCAAATCTTACTTTTTGACCAGAATAACATAAGTTACCTGTTGTCTTTGCCTAATTTACCAGAGTTACCAAACTCTCTCTACTTTTCCCCCCAGTGTAAACTTCTTTTAGAAGTTTAGATATGGGATCATGTTCTTTTCCTGACTCCCACACTACTTGCTATCAATTGCTTCTTTGTTATTTCATTGCTAGATAGGGGTTGATGGCCTGCATTTTTCATTTTGTGACTTCCTTATCTATGTTTTTCTTGTTTTTATTAAGGAGGAAAGTTTAGTGTCAATGACCTAAGAGATACTCCACAAAACGCTGGGTTTAGACTGGAAGCAAATGAAATCCAGGACCTGCAGACCCACCTACCAGTTACTGGTGAGCATTTAAGATGCCTTTACCCTGTAGACAATGAGTAGTCTACTCTGAAAGCTGTGGGGAAACACATGTTGGGGAGAGAAAAACTGGGGGGAGATACAATTCAGAGGCTTTTGCTGAGGTCCAGGTGATACAGCCTTGTAAGGTCCAGATGATAAGGGTCTTATTTAGGGAACCACACTGGTGATATGGTAGGGAGACTGATTCAATGTGGAAGGTGGAAGGGGGGTAGATACTAAAAGTGTGAACCAGAGGTTTATGGCTTATGGTTGCCACAAAACAAAAAAAATGGGGGGGGGTGCAGAAGAAGGAGCAGAATGAAGAGAAAAATAATATTTAGGACATAATTGAATTGAGGTAATCACAGGACATTTAGAGACTAGGTATCAGATCATTGAAAATGCATTCCTTGATTATTAATCTTTAAGTACATATAAGTACATTGTCTTTGATCCACCAGCAAGGTTTAAACAGTGCCTCAGAGTGTCCCTATGAGCACAGAAATACCACAAGAATAGAAAGATGTAATAAATGAATATTTGAGAGATAAGGATTGGATTAAAGAGTAGGATAAGGAAGAAAGATAAGAGAAAAAGATGAAGAAGGGTAAGAGAAAAGAAAAGAAAAAGGGTAGGAAAAGATGATATAAAGATATATACTTATGTCTATCAGCTTTTGTTTCTTTGTTTGTTTTGTTCCTTTGCTGCTTTCAGTAGTTTAGTGGTTACCAGAGGTTAAGGGGGGCAGAGGGAGGTGGTAGATGAGGGTAAACGGGGTCAAATATACTTGTATGGTGATGGAAGGAGAACTGACTCTGAGTGGTGAACACATACTGTGATATATAGATGATGTATTACAGAATTGTACACCTGAAACCTATGTAATTTTACTAACCATTGTCACTCCAATAAATTTTAATAAAAAAAATAAAATTAACATAAAAAAAAAATTCCCATCTTTTTAAAGGAGAAAAGATCGAAGCCAGTGACTTTAAAACTGTGCTGGGAAATATGGGACTTGAGCTTACTGAAAAAGAACAGTTAATGCTGTCAAAAACTCTGCCCGTCGCTGGTGACTATTTCTTGGATCATCATGGAGCTCAGGGAAATGAGGCATTATTATCTTCTAGATGAGAATTGTCCAGTGTCCTGAGAAACCCCCTAAGAATAATGCAGCTCAGACATGAGACACCCTGTTTTTGTCACTTGTGTTTTAATTTGGCAGTGAGAAACTTAAGAGAAACTTCTCTCTTTTCCATTCAGCCAATGGACTCCTGCTACACCTTTCAACAGCTACACAGCTAAATTCTTCTATACCCCCCTCCCGAATGTGCCCCACATCCTTAGCCCCTCCTCAGGCAGCCCTCCCATCTCCCCACAACCCAGCAACTAAAACATAAACACCTGAGAGCAGGGTCAGTATCCATTCTGATTGGTCAGTGGCCCAGCCAATCAGTACCTCAAAAGTCCCACCTCAGGCCGGCCGAGTGGCGCGATGGTTAAGAGCTCGCTTGGGATGCCAGAGGGCCCCGGTTCGGATCCCACATATGAGGGCCAGTGACACTGCCCTCTACAGCTAAGATGCTGAACAACAGCTCAACCTG